TGAGAGGCTGTGGTTGCTGTCAGTAGCTGTTCATGTCCTGAGCTCGTGCTGACTACTCCACCGACTTTCTTTGCTTGACGCGCGGCAATTTCGAGGCACCTGCGCAGCAAGTAGGATTCAAAATTAAAAAATGAATGGAAAGTAAAAATCCATGGACTTTTCTCGCCAGCCTTGTCGCGCGACACATACAACTCAAGGTACCTGCACAGCAGGTAGGATAACAGTACAGGGCTGTTCACGCAGTGGCGTTTTTTTCCACGGAGCGGAGCGGAGCTGTTTTTTTACAAAAAAATGTTTCAATGAATATAACGTAACCCATGGACTTCCTTTCCTTGCTTGGCGCGCGGCAAATTTTTGACGCCAGATACCTTCAGCAGGAGGAGGAGCCTAAGAAGGTGCTTCTGGTGGCCGGAGACGTGTACCGACCGGCGGCCATCGACCAGCTCATCTCCCTCGGGAAGAGGATCGACGTAAGATACCACACACCCCTAGATGACGTACGATAACACTCCCCCCTCTGTTGTGATGTGAGAACCTGGTCCGGTGAGAACCCGGCGTGCTCCATCCCGGCTTTGTAGAGATGCGAGGTCAATGGCCTAACGACTACGGCGTTCACGACTATGAGTACCCCCCCCCCTAGGTCGGTTTTTCAAGACTGGATTGCTCCGCAACCAAGTTTAGATTTATCCATAGCCAACATTTGCGCCTACACTAACAATAAGTGGTTTTGGAAACGTTTCGTGGAGGGCTTTCTTTAGAGGTGGGGGGTTTTTTCCGTTTTCCCAAAGTTCGGGGGCAGGGGGGGGATCAAGTTTGGAAAAGTGGGTCCAGGGGGGGGGGGGGGTGCCATCTCTCCGAATTACTGTAGGTGACGTGAGATACCCCACACGAATCTCATACATCTCGCTCCAAGACCAAGGGCCACGAATCTCCGTCACGTTTTCTTGCGTTTTGCACACAGCACTCGCCCCTCTATAGTGCAGGTTGAATGGTGCAGGTACCTGGTATAGTGCCGTTGAAAAGCTGCTGACACAGACTTCAGCTGGTATACTAAAACCCTATGAATTCCCCGATCCTGAATAGTGCAGGTGCCCGGTATAGTGCCAGTTAAATCTGCTGACACAGACTTACAGCTGGTATACTATAACCTATATATTCATCGATCCTGAATAGTGCAGGTGCCTGGAATAGTGCAGGTAAATATCACTAGACACACCCTTGCAACGTAAAGAGCCCAGTACTGCATCAACAATCACGAACAGCGGTGGAGACGTAGCTTCATTTCTTGTCGGGTATGTATATGCATACCGTCTCGTCGAGATATACCGCACATGACATGAGATAACACACCCCTTTGGATCGATTTTTTTTAAAGCTTGATTGCTCCACACCCAAAGAGTGCGCCAACACCAAAAATGGTGGTTTTGGAAAGAGGGGTTTTACGTAGACCTGTCGGGCTCTTTCCGCACATGCGTTAGTGGTGGAGGAATCGAATCGAGCTTTGAAAGTCGGTCTAGAGGGGGTGCCACGTCTCCGTCTCTTACGGTGTTACTGCTGTAGGCGGCACGCAGCACTGACTGAGGCGGTGAATACCGTATATGACACAGGATAACACACCCCCTGAACCGATTTTCAAAGCGTAATTTCTCCACAACCAGGATGGTGCGAGCGCCAACTGATACTTGTCAGGAAAGCTCTCGATGAGATATTTCCAAAACCGCCCTTTTCGATAGTGGTAACCTCCTGGTTGTGGATAAATTACGCTTTGAAAATCGTTCGCACCTCTATGCGCCGACTCGCAACCTTACTAGGTGTTCCGTCGTTTGTGTGTGTGTTTGGGCATCATTGTCGACAAGAATGGCGACATGTTTTGAGTGTCAGCGTTGACGATATGATAGGGCATCGCAAATGGCGTGGTAGAATGTGATTTTTGGCGTCGCAGGCGTACTAAGACGCACTACTCCGGTTATAGGCAGCAGCACAGAGGACGAAACAAATTAAATAGTTGGAAGCACAGCTATCGCGCGAAGTCATGTCGTTTGTGTGTGTGATGCTGCTGCCTGTGGACACGTATCACGTGTCAATACGAGGTGCGACATACCGTGTCAAAGTGCGCGGTGTGATACGATACCGCATATTGCACGGTAAGATGCGATCTTGTTGGGTGTGATAAGAAGGGGGGGGGGAGGAGACTTTCTACCTCGGAAAGAGCCTCTTGGCTGAGCAAGAAATATTGACCACTTCTTCATGGGAAAAAACGGTTTCATCTCCGACTCCGCCGTCGAGAAAAGAAAGGAAGGTCATTCGGTTTTTGTGCACGGTTGGTTACACGCGCACACACACCCCGTTTGCTTGAATCAGTCGGGCACCCCAGTCTCTCTCTGTCTCTATGTACATATATATATCTTTGATGTTGGTGATGATGATTCTCTCTGCTCTTGAATGATTATGATAATATTTCTGGTTGTGATGTTGGTGGTGACGGTGATGCGCCACCCGACAGGTGGAGGCGTTCTCGGTTGGACCTCTCCCTGTCTCTCGTTCTGTTTCTCTTTCTTTCTCCCTCTCGATGATGATGATGATGATGACGATGATGATGATGCTGATTATCTCTGGTGACGATGATGATGATGATGATTATCTCTGGTGGCGATGATAATGATGATTATCTCTGGTGGCGATGATAATAATGATGATTATCTCTGGTGATGATGATGATGATGCTGATTCTCTCTGGCGATGATAATGATGATGATGATTCTTTCTGGTGACGATGATGATGATGATTATCTCTGGTGGCGATAATAATGATGATGATGATTATCTCTGGTGACGATGATAATGATGATGCTGATTCTCTCTGGTGACGATGATGATGCTGATTCTCTCTGGTGACGATGATGATGCTAATTCTCTCTGGTGGTGATGATGATGATGATGATGATTCTCTCTGGTGGCGATGATAATGATGATGATTTTCTCTTGTGAAGATGATGATGATGATGATTCTCTCTGGCGATGATAATGATGATGATGATTATCTCTGGTGGCGATGATAATGATGATGATGATTTTCTTTGGTGACGATGATGATGATGATGCTGATTCTCTCTGGTGGTGATGACGATGATGATGCTGATTCTCTCTGGTGACGATGATGATAACGGTGATGCACCGCACGGCAGGTGGAGGTGTTCTCCATGGGACAAGGGGTAGACCCCGTCGAGATCACCAAGGCCGGCCTAGAGCGCGCCGTGGAGGGGGAGTTTGACACGGTCATCGTCGACACGGCCGGGCGGCAGGTGGTAGATGACACCCTCATGACCGAGCTGAAGGACATACAGGTATAGCTACTGCTGTTGTGGTTATTGTTGTTGTTGTTGTTGCTGCTGCTACTGCTGCTGCTACTGCTGCTGCTGCTTCTTATTGGTGGTGGTTGTGGTGGTGGTGATGTTGTTGCTGCTCCTGCTTGTTGGTGTTACTGTTGTTGGCGTTGTTGTTGCTGCTGCTGCTGCTGCTGCTGCTGCTGCTGCTTGTGTTAGTGGCGGTGCCTTCATCACTACTGCGTGGCGTGTTGGCTCCTACCACGTACTAGCGTCGTTCTTTCTACTTCGTCGTTTGCAGCTATTTTCTGCGGCCGTTGGCACGTCGATGCTCTTTTTTCTGTTATCGAAGGATGACCCCTCTTTGGGGGTGCTGCCTGCTTCCGACGGTTTCACGCTGCTCTTGTCACCATGTCGTGGTCCTCCCTATCTGTACTACTGTACCTCGCTCTTGTTTCCGCCATCTCTACATCTTCACACCCACGTAACCTCCCCGCCCTCCCGCATTCTGCGTGGACCCCACCCCCCCACCCCCCCATTCCCGGCCGCGCGCTCGACCAATCAGGTTGCTTCGGAGGCGGACGAGGTCCTTCTGGTCGTGGACGCCATGACCGGTCAGGAGGCCGCCACGTTGGCCTCGGTCTTCAACGAGAAGATTGGCATCACGGGCGCAGTGCTGACAAAGATGGACGGGGACACCCGAGGTGGCGCCGCGCTGTCCGTGCAGGGGGTCTCCCAGAAGCCGATCAAGTTCGTGGGGATCGGGGAGAAGGTGTGTGTCTCTCTTAAATTTATGTTAGCATCGCCCGCGTTGACTAACTGGCTGACCAATGAAAAAGACGTCAGGCTCAGTGCGGTCGAAGACACAAAACACTTCGAAATGCCATGAACGGGGACCCCGTGAGGGGGCGGCATGGGGGAGGATAAGCTATTCTCGGGATGAATAGTAGGAAGATGGCACAAGAACGAGAGTATGATTGGAAACGTGCCCTTCGATTGGGGTGCTGTGAACGTTTGTACGGGGACAAGACGCAAGCACATGTATTATTGGCACAAGCCTAGTGGTATGCTTTTTTTCTGAGGCACGACGACAAACCTTTCCCGTAACAACAATTCACCTTGTTGTTGCATCCCAAACCTTGGGTGCCGCCGGAACGCACACGCACCCACCGATCGACCGCGCGTGTACTGCTGCTTTGAAAAGCGCACATTCCGTCCATGAGACTCGCTCACCGCTGTTTCAACCCCCCCCCCCCCCCCCCC